TTTTTTTTTTTTTAACAAAACAAATTAATGGGACACTATAGTCATTAGAACAACTACTTGATGATGTTCTGGAGACCTGCAGACCTTTTGCAGTAAACATGGTATTTTCAGAGAAAATGCAGTGTTTACCTCCAGTGACCACTCCTCTGAACTATCCTCGTAGAGGTGCGTTGTTTCAATGCATCTCTGTGGGGAGATGCTGATAGGCCAGGGTGGTGTTTGGCTCTGCTCACCAGCCAATCTCCTTGGCTGAATTCATTAGAATTAACAATGTATTTCCTATAGGAAAGCATTGTGATTGGCTGAGATTGTCACCTCTGATGTCAGCCAAGGATGCAGATCAGGGGCATAGCCAGCAGCCTCTAATAAAGGTTAGATCTAACTATATTTAGGGGTGGCAGGGCAGGCTAGATTTTTTTTTTTTTTTTTTCATTTTTATTAGTTTTATCAGTATAAAAGATATGACACATTAAATCAACAAAAACCACAACAAATCCAAAAGGACAAACGAGGGGGAAAAAAAAGGAAGTCACACTCTCTGGGGGAGAATTCAGTGGGCCCTCAAGCACGCCTGGGACACGTCCCTATAAGAGTTTTTTTTTTTTAATATCATCCAGTTATCACATAAGTCGAAACGATTAATTATTGTATTTGAATTAGTTAAAATCCAGTTTTCAATTTTTAGTTGGTGAGATAATTGTGCCTTAATTAAATGCCAATCAGGTTTAATAGAATCCTTCTACTGTCTTGCTATGACCATTTTCACAGCTGTTAAAGCATGCAGCAATAGTTTTTAGTACATTTTCTGTTTTTTGAGGGTGATTTTTGACCCATTGTACATCACTACGGAACCTAATGGCGCTATATTAATAATGTAACAGCATCACTTCTGATTTTTAAAAACAATGGCACATCCCATCAAAATGTTTAGCTTGGAATAAACCTCCCTCCAGAATGCTTCAATGATAGGACATTTCCACCACGCATGTAATAGATCTGCCTCTTATTCATCACATTTCCAACATTTGGATGATAAATGTGGATATATTTTATTTAAAATTAAGGTGGTATAATGCAATCTATTAAGAAGCTTTTCGTGAAATTGATTTAAGCCCAAACAATGAATATTTCTATTTATTAAAGTCATTGAGTTATACCAGTCTCTGGGAGAAATATTCCTTCTCAGATCTTATTCCCATTTTTGTAATGCATTTGGAATAAATTGTTTCTCCATTGTTTTGAGTAGACAATTACTAACAGATTATTTTTTTTATTTTTTTTTAGTATCTATCTTGTTTATAACTTTATTTAAAAAAGTTTGAATATTACATTTTTTTTATGAATATGCATAACTTTTAAGGTAGTTTAAGAATTATTTTTATTATCTTGTGTTTAGAAATCGACTCTTGAAAGGGTTTGATTTTACCATTATTCACTACGTCTGAGATCAGAACAATGCCATTGGATACCCACTGGGACAGGTCAGCGCCCTTAACGAGTTCACTAAGCGTGTCTTTCCTCTGTGACGGCAATATTTGCTCCTTATGATCTAGACTTTCCTTAATTTTGTATCTTTTTTTTTTTTAAGATCTGGTTTAAAGAAGATGTTTTGAAAAAAAGCTAGTTTTTTTTTTTTAATAGATTCTGGAGGGAGCCAAAAAACTGAAGCTAGTTTTTTGTATGAACAAATTCTCTTCAATTCAAGATTATACCAGCTTTCATTGGTAGATACAACAAAAAAAACATTCATTTATTGGTAGATGATTGATGAAAAGTACAGATAGCACCGGCTAATAAAGAAGCCTGATTAAGTCTATTCAGGCAGGGAAATCCTAGTCCTCCTGTCTCAATGTTTATTTTAAAATAATTTTAAGCCTATTCTACGTCTTTTCTTGAGCAAGATACATTTTGAAAATAAGGACTGAATTAACATAATCCAGCTCTTAGGAATTTGAAAATGTAATAGGCTCAATAAATAAGTGATTTTAGGTAAGACATATGAGTTAATGGTGTTAATCATGCCCCACCAGGAAATTATTTTTTACATTTTTTTTTTTTCTTTCAGCTTCTAAAGTTGGTATTGATCTCTTAAAGGTAGCAAATTTATCTCTAACCATTTTCGTGGTCTCCTAAATAGGAGAAATATTCTTTAGCCGAAAGAAAATCGAACCTCATAGCAATTTCTGCTATTATTTTAGTGTTCGTGAGTAAAGGTAGAGCAATTTATTTTGATCAATTTATAATTCGAGAATTGACTCTAATTTTAATGCCCTTCATTAATTCCTTGACAGAATTTACAGGATCCTCTATGGTTCTGAGTATGTCATGATTACGGAATGATCCAGCACGTAGAATTGTATAACAGATCTGATAAGAAACGTATACCGGACCTTAAAATGGCCGGACTAACGTACCAAAGAATAGTCCGGAATAGCCGAGGTCAAGGGAAACAGAAAGAGACACAACGATAAGGAAAAGCCAGGAGTCAGGGATGCCAGAAAACGGGGAAGTCAAAAACAATGCCAAAGTCAAATAACCAGAATTACCAGAATCAATAACGCACTCTCGGACAAGCACAAGGGAAACCACGACAGGGCACTGAGCAGGATGAGAACTGGGCCTAAATACCCCTCCTCTAGATCTGATAGGCTGCAACCGGCCTTTGACCCCAAAGCAGTTACCAGGTTCCCATTTGCATAATTGCTGCTCAGCATTAACCCTTCTGTGGATTTGGTTGCTGCTCGGCACAACTTTTCCTGTGTGGACAGTAAATGTCATTAACCACATTTTTATAAGCGGATGAATACGTGACACATCCGCATATAGTTTGTTTAACCCCTTAAGGACCAAACTTCTGGAATAAAAGGGAACCATGACATGTCACACATGTCGTGTCCTTAAAGGGTTAATTTCTACATTGTCTTTAAACCCCTTTATCTTGTTTCTAATATCTATAGCTAATAATTCAATTGTTAAGACGTAGAGAAGCGGCGACAGCGGGCAACCTTGCCTGGTGCCATTTGCGAGGGTAAACCCGTTTGTAGAAAATCTGTGACTTTATTATTTTTCCTGATAAGTTTGAGTATATAGCTTCAAAAAATCTACCAATAAAACACAAAAATTTAAGGGCGTTCACAAGCCATCTCATACATATTTAGTAATGGGCGAGTATGACTGAAGGATGATCTACGTGTATCAAATCGGATATGACCATTTTCATACTATGAGCTAGCACCGCAGCGTGCATTTTTTATATCTTCTGTGGCAAAACTAGCCACTGGAGACTATTAATGTAGAAGTATGTTTGTATTCTGGCTAGAGCTGTAGAGACAAGGGTAGGATTGTATTTACATTTCAGGCGAATGAGGGCATTCGTATGCTGGCGGTATGAAAACCCCAGCATTCATACTGTAGTTTCACGAACAGCGAGTTTAAACACTGTTCGTGAAACGAATAACTTACCGAATGCACGACCACACACAGGAGGTCGTGTGGCGCCCATTAACCATTAATTAAGTGTGTTTCTAGGTGGCCGTCGTTCGACTACCGACCACGCGGCGGTCGGCCATCTTGGTTCCTTTGTTAGCCCAGCTGTTGGCTACACGATGGCGTGAACCCCGCTGGACTTCCAGGCCGTTCGGGAGGTTGTTCCCCTGATGTCAATCGGTATCTTGAGCAGAACTTGAATTTCATGTGTGTTTCGTGCGGCGTTCGGTTAGTTAGGCTGTGATCTGAGCGGTATTCTCACGAACTATGCGCTCAGACCCCAGCTATATACTGAACGTCCATTCGTTTAAATGAAGGGAATATTATGGGAGATAAGTATTTTAATGTGAAATGTAAGTTCTGCTGTACGGAGGGATAATCCACTTAACGGTATATTCTCGTGGGAGTATCCCTCTCGTGCAGCAGTGCATGGTGGGAAAAATGCATGTATTGTTCAGTTCCCCATGTAGTCCCCTACTGTACCACCCCTAGAATGTCAGTAGGGAAACCATTTGCATGGGGAATCACATAAATACCATGACCTGAAAATAAAACCTCAGTTGACCTCCAAGCTATGTGTCGTCTAGTTCTTGGGAGGAAGGGATTGTAACTACGCTACCTGGATTTTACCTGCTTTGTGCCTGCTTGATTCTGTCTACCAGCGGAGATACCGTGGATAATACTACTACTCCGCTACATCTTCATTAGGAGTGAGATAGGTCTATAGCTCCTGACATCTTCTGGATTTTTTTTTTTATCTGTTTATGATGTTTCCTCTCAGGAGGTCCTTGGAAACTTAGTTCCACATTTAACAAATGCTTTTAATATCTCATTTTTTTTTTTTTTGTAAAAAAAAAAAGTCACAAAAGGCCATCTGGCCCCGGCTTTTTTAGGTGCTTAAAGAGTACCCTCCCTGCCAAACTCACCCCCAAATTAGACAGGGTGCTAGATAGTGTTTTTAACACTATAGATTCAAGAATACATGTTTGTGTTCCTGTCCCTATAGGGTTCCTTTAAGGGGCCCCTGGCTCCTCACTGCCAATATCATTAATAAAGTAGTTTCACTGATGCGTTGGCAATGTCAAATATATACAAGTTTGTACCCCACTCTCTTGCTTCAAAGATTGGAGCCTTCCATTCTAAAAGTGGGCCTTCACGAGGCTGCTAGTTTAGGGCATCGAATATCTGAAATATTTTTAGCAGTTGATTTTAGCTGTCTTTGAATGTAGTATGAGGATTCATGGTTTGGGTAGGGTACAGATAGTGCTTTTTTTGAGGGCAGGGTGTATATGATGACACCAGTTCATATTAAAGGAACACTAAAGTCACCTTGATCACTTCATTTTAATGAAGTGGTTCTACAGTTTACCGTCAGAAAAAATAGAATCTAAAGTAGTGAGAGCAAAGCTCCTTGACTTTTTTTTTTCCATATCTAACAGTTTGTCTAAATGTCGTTAATTCCTCTCTTTCAAAGTCTTCGCTTTATTAATCTGACCTTTATTTCTAATTATCAGATGGACAACTTGGGAGAGAAGAGGGCAGCAGCCAAGATGGCCTCCCGTCTGCCTGTCCCACCGAGCAGAAAAAGAGCTTTGAGTGATGAAAACCTGGAGCAGATGGCAAGGGTAAAAGAGCAGGGGGTGTGTGTCATATTAATTATGGTCTTTTTTTCCCAGCAAAAAACAAACATTTTGATTGCAGATAAAAATTAACAGACATATCTAGTTTACCTTCACATTTTTAATAGCAGAGGTTTTATTTTTGTCCTACACAGTGTAGCAGTGTGTCTAACCTCATCCAATTTGATCTCTGCTGCGCTGATAGACTCTACCCCTTCTTCTGGGTGTTTCCTACAAGTCTATAAATCACAGGTTTCAATGAGACTTGGGCAGAGCCTAAATACAGCATAAAGTTAGGCATGAATTCCCATCAGCTACTTGGGCCTCCCCGTTTTAGACCAGTTAACTGCATTTCATTATCATTGTTAAAGTGCTGCGGAGAGGGGTAAGGTGATTATGTATTTTTATTTATTTCTTTTCAATTTCATTTCTCAGAAGAGATCCAAAACCACCTCCCCAGATGACACAATGACTACAGTACATGTGGCAGCAAGCATTGCCACATCTAAGCCTCGTTCTGTTGTAGCAGCTTTTCCGAAGCCACCAGTTATAGGTATGTAACAGAAAACTCTGGCAGTGCCATTATTGTCAATCAATGTTAAATCTGTAAAGTAGTAATTCCACATCACTGTAATTCACAGGACGGCAAACATTGGCAGTTATCAGGCCCAAGAATCGGAACGTTGGGGTTAACTCTGCAGGTATGTGCATTGTGAATTTGTCTTTATACATTAGTTTGAAATGAAGGTAGGCTTACTTGTCTAATATTGAAGGTGGGTGGGGGGTGAGAGGATCATCCTACCGATAGTTTTCTAATGTGTCTTTTGTGTCTTAGAGACATTCTATGCTGGACTTGACACATTCTTCTTATTAATGGGCCACTATAGTGACTAAAACAACTTTAGCTTAAAGGACCACTCTAGGCACCCAGACCACTTCAGTTTAATGAAGTGGTCTGGGTGCCAGGTCCAGCTAGGATTAACCCATTTTTATTTTTTTTTTATAAACATAGCAGTTTCAGAGAAACTGCTATGTTTATAAATGGGTTAATCCTACCTCCAATTCCTCTAGCGGCTGTCTCATTGACAGCCGCTAGAGGCGCTTGCGTGATTCTCACTGTGAAAATCAGTGAGAGCACGCCAGCGTCCATAGGAAAGCATTGTAAATGCTTTCCTATGTGACCGGCTGAATGCGCGCGCAGCCAGCCGCATGGGAGGATCGGAGGAGGAGAGCTCTCCGCCCAGTGCTGGAAAAAGGTAAGTTTTAACCCCTTTCCAGAGCCAGGCAGGAGGGGGACCCTGAGGGTGGGGGCACCCTCAGGGCACTATAGTGGTCCTTTAATGAAGCAGTTTTAGTGTATAGATTATGCCTCTGAAGTTTCTCTGCTCAATTCTTTGCCATTTAGGAGTTAATTCAATTTTGTTTCTGTTTATGTTGCATTAGCCACACCTTCCCTAGTTGTGACTGATACCGCCTGCATGAAAACAAAATGGTTTAATTCTCAGATGTAACTTACTTTAAAAGCTTTTATCTCCTGGTCTGTAATTTGAACATAAATTACATACAATAGGCTCGTGTAGGGTCTAGCAAGCTATCGACCGAGCTGGAGATGAGAGATTTTAAACTAAACAGAATTTGCAGTAAAGGTAAACATTAGATGACTCTTTACAGGAAGTGTTTAGGAAGGCTGTGTAAGTCATATACAGGGAGGTGTGCCTAGGGATGCATAAACAAAGTGATTTAACTTTTATAATGTCAAAGATGCTTACTTTGAATTTATTCTCCAGAAACACGGTTTACTAAAACTATCTTTTCATAAATGTTCTTGAATAAATAGTCCTGTTGACTGTTTAATGATCAAAAGAGGGGTCCATGCACTTTATGATGTGACTTTATTTGGACACGAAAGGCATTTTAACTCCATTTATATACTTCTGTGCTTGGGCTTTCTATCTTGCTGGAAAAAAGGTCATGCCAACTTAGAAGATTCACAACTATGCATGTTCAGCCCTTAACCCCTTGCTTCTTCGGTTGTGGCATGTGTATGTCTAGTCTGTAGTGTGGTCTGTCAGTCCAAGTTGTACGTGTACTATCATGTTTGCCATATACACATTGTGCTGGACATGTGATTGCCTAGGGTGTTCCTTGAATGGATACCAAAGACACTGTTACTGTTTCATTTCATTGAAGTGGTTTTAGTGTCTGGAATCCCATATCGCTTGCTTCTATTCAGTGTTAAACCGATTTGTTTTACATTTTAATGCTCACAGTCGATAGCAGTCCTGCTGCATTGGATAATCAGGGAGAATTATGCAGAGCATCAATCTGCATCTGTGATTGACCACTTTAAGCTTATCACAGGCACCAACAGTGTCTCTTTAAATAGCCATCGTATCAATACTTTCTCATTTGTTTACCACTTAAACTATATAATAGTTTGAATATGGCATTCAATTTACTGAATAATTACAGGATGGCACAGTTTGTGTAGTTGTACATTGGATTGGTGTTGTATTGATAAATTAGGAGCGCTGTGATTTGTACTGTATTCAGTGATTGCTTACAATAAACTGTCATGTAAATCTGTTTTCATGTTTCACAGCAAACTCTGCGAAATCTCGACTCAATGTATCAGGTAAGACTACCTCGTCGTATGTTTTGCTTTCTTGTTTTCTAGCGTCTCTCTCGCCTGCCCTCTCCCTCCCTCTAAAACCAATGCAGACTATGGTGTTAAGAATTTACAATTTCTACATGTAAAATGTGCTGCTCGTTAACCTTTCTGCCCTCATTAACATTTTGGTTAACCGCAGACACGTCCAACTCCCAAACGGTCAGATGGGTGGTCGTCGTTCGTATGAAGGCACATGTGGCGACTGCCATCTTGGACAGTGAAACGGCCAGCGGTGTTCGTCGACAAACCCTTGGAACTGTTTTTGGGCACTGCTTCCCGCGAACACCGCTGAAATCACTGACCATCCGTTGCTCTGTTCCAAATTCATACGAACGCTGTGCCTTTCGGTAAATTGACAATACACGAAGGGAACTGTACCAGATAGTAAACCCATGGAGCTCATTCGTTTCGTCGAACGCCCAATGTATAAACTTCAACCATTCATGGCGATTGAACTATATGTATGGGATCTGAGCGCTGTTCAGTTAATTAAAAAAAAACAATTTTTAACCGAACAGCGCTCAGATCCCATACATATAGTTCAATCGCCATGAATGGTTGAAGTTTATACATTGGGCGTTCGACGAAACGAATGAGCTCCATGGGTTTACGATCTGGTACAGTTCCGTTCGTGTATTGTCAATTTACCGGATGGTCGGTGATTTCAACGGTGTTCCCGGGAAGCCATGTCCGAAATCCGTTCCAAGGGTTTGTCACCAAACACCGCTGGGCATTCGACTGTCCAAGATGACCGCCGCCACATGTTCATTCATACGAATGACGACCACCCAGTCGACCGGGAGTTGGCAGTGTCTGCGGTTAACCACAATGTTAATGAGAGCAGAAAGGTTAAAGAGCAGCACACTTCCCTGCTGGGTGGCCTGCCATTCGGTAGTTTGTTCGTCTTTTGATGAATGCAAGCAGGAAACATACGAACAACTGGCGAACAAACAGACGAATTAGGTTTTAAATAATAACCCAAAAGCAGATAGGTCTGCCACACAAGGGATGTGTCACCTTCCACATCATTGCAATCTCTGTATCTTCTCCACAAACTCAAGAATGCACTTTATTTTTCTAATTCTATTTGAAAATCATATGATAAGTTCTACATTTTGCCATTTATCATCAAGGTATATTTATTACTGTACATCTATTGCTCTGTGCTTGGGTTCTGGTTGTCTCATGCTTATCTCTAGAATCTAAATTGTATTTCTGACAATTCTCACCCTTGTGAATAATCCTGTATGTGTTCCCCCACTGCTCATTACTTGTGTTGTCTCTGTGTGCTTGGGTTATAGCTCTGTGTTCTCTCACTGTTGTGTACTTGGGTTATAGCTGTGTGTTTTCTCACTGCTGTGTACGTAGGTTCTAGATGTGTTGTCTCACTTATGTCCTTGCTTTGTTTTGTTAAAGTACCCTCTCAACCATCGACCACTGCAGCTGATAAAAAGAAACGTGCTGCCTGGGATCTTAAGGGTCAGGTTAATGACATGAAGGACAAAGTCACAACCTTCAAGAGTAAAGTACAGACGCTGTCAGGGGAGAATGCTCGTCTTCTAACCACCAGAGAGCAGTTACAAAGACAGGCGGAGGCCTTGACCTCTGAGAATTCCAAGCTGAACCAAGAGCGACAGTGAGTTCACTCTCAACTTTAACGTATTATGTTTACTGCTCACCGGCAGTAAACCTGATAGGAAGTCTGCTGACCACCTTTCTCGGTGGGGATCTCAGTCACTCTTGTCCTGTGCCTTATTTACAGTTCCACATCTATGCTTATCATCACAGATGAAATGCTGGGGACACTATTGTCCAACAATAGCACCCCTCCTACGCAGTGGATCGACTTATCCTTTTTCCTACGTGTACCTCCATATTTACCAATTCGTGTTACCATCTTGTCGTAGTCCTCATTGTATCAGCCTATGATTTTAAAGGACCACTATAGTGCCAGGAAAACATACTCGTTTTCCTGGCACTATAGTGCCCTGAGGATGCCCCCACCCTCAGGGTCCCCCTCCCGCCCGGCTCTGGAAAGGGGTAAAAACTTACCTTTTTCCAGCGCTGGGCGGGGAGCTCTCCTCCTCCTCCTGGGCTGAATGCGCTCGCGCGGCAAGAGCTTTTCCTATGGACGCTTGCGTGCTCTCACTGTGAAAATCACAGTGAGAATCACGCAAGCGCCTCTAGTGGCTGTCAATGAGACAGCCACTAGAGGGAATAGGGGGAAGGCTTAACCCATTAATAAACATAGCAGTTTCTCTGAAACTGCTATGTTTATTAAAAAATGGGTTAACCCTAGCTGGACCAGGCACCCAGACCACTTCATTAAGCTGAAGTGGTCTGGGTGCCTAGAGTGGTCCTTTAAGAGTATTTTTGGAAAGTATCTGTATTTCCTATGATGCCATTTATGAACTTTTACCTCAGTTTTTCTGGTGCCCAGTCGGGTTCTTCTTTACCGATATCTTTAAAGCTGAAGTTTTCCTTCTCCTTTTAGCATTGTCAAATTTGACTGAGGAGTGTGAGCTGATACTTTGCCAATAAATCCCTTTCAATCATAAAGTTAATAGATCCAGCTAATGTAGAAAAGGAACTGTAGCGATGAAGAGGGGCTGCTCCTTGACACTTACCTGGCTCCCACTTGGTGTCCAATTTAAAACTAGTTTGCCTTATTACTGTCAGACAACGCTAGGGACCTCTGGCACTGTAAGCCCTACAGCACACTATAATGGCTATGGTACTTGGAGTACCACTATAAGCGACAATTAGATTTTTCTCCCCTGATATCATACTGTTCCTTTTTGTACAGAACCCTTGCTTCAAAGCTGCACACCGAGCAACACAAAACGGCCACATCTGAAAAGGAGATTGCACGTCTGACTGAGCTTTCTCAGAAGCTGGAAGTGGAGCTAACTGCTTTAAAAAGCCTCTCTGAAGATTTACAGGGAGCAAACCACAGTCTGACACTACAACTGAAAGATAAGGAGGTGGGTTTGAAGTTTTGTTGTTTTTTTTTTCAATATCTTTGGAAGAACACTGCAGGTTATGGCCAGGTCTCATATCTCCTTGGTAGAACACAAAGCAGGTGTGACTTCTCAAATATAGTGTCAGGAGTACATGTTTGTATTCCTGACACTATAATGTCCTTTAAAGACTAATGATATCTCCTCTCTATGGTACAGGTTAAACTGATATGTGTGCAGGGAGAGAATACTGTGCTGCAAAACACAGCGAGGGACCAGAGTCAGGAGATTGCTGCTCTTAAGTCAACAATTGAACAGAGAGATACACAAATCCACACTCTGGAGACTGAACGAAGACGCTTGCACAACATGGTCCAGGAACTGAAGGTAAGCTTAGCTCCGGAATCTACTCTTGGACAGCTTAATTCTCAAATTTTTTAAAGGGAGAATTTTAAATAATGCTGATACAAATTGAGTTTGCACTTGTAATTTTTCTAATGATTTTAGTTTGATTTCTCACTTTACGTTTAAATGTCTATTGTCTGTGTGATCAATTAGGGGAACATCCGCGTTTTTTGTAGAGTTAGACCAACTCTGTCCACTGAGAGGACTCTGCCGGCCAGTCATATTGGCTATCCAGCAAACGATGAGAAGGCGATTATTTTATCAAAAATTGAAGAGGTAAAGTATATTCAAGCCTCCATGATGGCCATTGTGTAGTTTTGGGTTCTAATTTCATCCTGTCCAGTTCATTATCAGATCTAATACTCTTTGTATGTTTATCAATATAGATTGAATTATTATTTAAGCCACACTTTAAACGTGTGGCCATATACTAAAACTACAACTACTAAAGTTTGGCATGGCAGTTGGTTTGTAATAAACTTCCCTTGATCTCCTACAATCAAATTCCTCAGCTTCTCTGAGTATTATTTGAAATCTAGTCTACAGGAACTGCTGTGAAAGGGTAACCATGCTGGCATTACACACTCTTTAATTACCTTCTATATTTTCAGGGTATTTCTGTATACAATCTTCTCAATAAATTATCCGCACCTTGAACACTCTATCTCTCTCTCTCTCTCCTTATCTTTCAGTCTCACGTTGGACGAGAAAAAAAAGAAGCCGTAAAGTATGATTTTAACTTTGACTGCGTTTTCCCTCCGTCCTGCACTCAAGCCGCTATCTTTGAGGAAATCTCATTATTGGTCCAAGTAAGTATCACAGATGGAAGCTGGCTTGTTTTAAAGGGACATTACAGGAACATGTTCACCTTAAGCACACTGCATATCTTCTATACCCCCCTACCCCAGTTTGCGATGAATTAAATCCTCTTTGTTCTGTTTCTTTTAGTCAGCTCTGGATGGATACCCAGTGTGTATATTTGCGTATGGCCAAACCGGCAGTGGAAAGACATACACTATGGAGGGGCCTGATGATCTTTCGATGAACACCATGGGAATGATTCCCAGGGCCATCCAACAAATTTTCCAGAGTGCGGAGGAGCTGAAAACTAAAGGATGGCAGGTAAGTGAGAGGATTATATGCTGAAAATCACGGATGGCCAATAAAGTAAATCTTCAGTAGTTGAACTTTAAAGGGACACTATAGTCACCTGAACAACTTTAGCTTAATGAAGCAGTTTTGGTGTATAGAACATGCCCCTGCAGCCTAACTGCTCAATCCTCTGCCATTTAGGAGTTAAATCCCTTTGTTTATGAACCCTAGTCACACCTCCCTGCATGTGACTTGCAGAGCTTCCATAAACACTTCCTGTAAAGAGAGCCCTATTTAGGCTTTCTTTAGTGCAAGTTCTGTTTAATTAAGATTTTCTTATCCCCTGCTATGTTAATAGCTTGCTAGACCCTGCAAGAGCCTCCTGTATGTGATTAAAGTTCAATTTAGAGATTGAGATACAATTATTTAAGGTAAATTACATCTGTTTGAAAGTGAAACCAGTTTTTTTTGTTTTTTGTTGTTGTTTTTTTTCAAGCAGGCTGTGTCAATCATAGCCAGGGGAGGTGTGGCTAGGGTTGCATAAACAGAAACAAAGTGATTTAACTCCTAAATGACAGTGAATTGAGCAGTGAAATTGCATGATCTATACACTAAAACTGCTTTATTTAGCTAAAGTAATTTAGGTGACTATAGTGTTCCTTTAAACCCCATGGGTCTTGCTCTATTTTTTTATTATTTTTGCTGTGCAGAGGTAAACAATCGTGTCATGCCACAACAGCAATTTACACAAACTGCATAATACATAGCGAACGTGGAAAGAGGCATTTAGGGAGAACAATTTTTTAGGAATATAATGACCGGTATAGAACCATGCAAAGAAAACAGAAGAAAGATATCTAGCTAAGACTAGTGATACATGCTTGTGAATGAATAGATTATGATGATTAGTGTAGAGCTCCTAGCATGGTCTTGTTGGGCAAGATAAAGTCATAACCTCGGGTATAAAACGTGGCTACACTGTACTATTCCACCATATGAGGGAAGAAAACGGCAAATTAAGGTAAACTTAGTGCTCGTTAGGTGTTGGTGACCAGTGTCTCTGGGTGAATGTTGCTGAGCTTCAGCCGATGCCTGTAGGTGGCATAATTGCTGCACGGCCAGAGATGGCTTCGCTCCAGAGTCGGGTGCCCCTTCAGCCCCAGGTCTGGGTGAGAGCCAATAACTTTATACCACCGACTCGGGTGCTTCTAGAGTCCGAGCCTGTCCCTGTCATTTTGCGATCCGAGGATGTGGTAACAGAGAGCTTGCCTGGGGGTCTCCTGCCTTCAGTAACACTTAGAGTAGGTCGTGATAGCCAGTAAATCGGGTTTAATATCCTTTTATCGATTAGCAATACAGGAGCTCCAGCGTTTCACGTCTGGCTCGTTTGAAGGTCAGGCCCCGCCCCCCAGTCCTGCTCTATTGTTTTAAAGATTGTTTATAAAAAATAAAAAGAGCACTGGGCACAACTTAGTTTAAATCACCTGTCCTAGAGAGCTGAAACAGTCTGGTCACTGCACCACCAACATTGAGATCATCATTCCTAATCTCTGGTCCAAAGTAATGTATTTCATACAGATGCATTTGTAAATCTACAGCAATCAATGAGATACCCCAATCTCTCATGAGAATAATTAATTAGCTGTTTAGTATCATGCTTGTATTCTGACACAAGACCTTTTGAAAATCAATGGATGAAAGGATGGGGGTTCCTCTAGTGGCGGTCTCTGACAGCTACTAGGGGTGTGTGTGTGTTTCAAACAAATGTGTAAACCGTGCAGTTTCTCAGAAACACGATAGAGCCCTCCGGCCCACCCGACCCGACCCGAAGTGGTCTGAGTAACTACAGTGTCCCTTTAAAATAAATGACTTGTCACTAGTTGCAGACTTTCTCAAAATAATTCATATATCCATGGTACAGGGCTTTATAGTCTACCTTTGTGATATGTGTATAATAGAAATGAAGCCTACTATCTTTCATTTGTATAAACTTGTTACCCTAAATTCATTAAATAAGTGTATTTAATCTGGAACCCGATGATGCACATTAGTGTTTACCAATTTAGTAGTGTTTATTTTTTTATATTTTATTTTATTTGATCTAGTTTATATTTAAAAAAAAAGTATTTTCCAAATTTTCGTATATATTTTTCCCTGTTCTGTGTTTCCTTTTCATTTTTTTTAGTACAAGTTCACTGCCAGTTTCCTCGAGATTTATAATGAGACTTTACGGGACCTGCTGGTGAGCCGTCCGGATAAGAAGCTGGAATACGATATCCGAAAGGTCAGCACGTCGAACAGCAGTGTGTATGTGACCAATCTGCGCTATGTGGAGGTCTCCAGCGAGGAGGAGGTGAGACTTACAACAGGCAACCTGTGTGCATATAGAGTAATAGTAATCGCATGTGCACCCTCCCTTAATTTAATAATCCCCTTCACAGATTAATTATTTCAGTTCATTGTTTATACAGGGCTTTATGGGGCAGTCTTGGAGCAAATCTTTAGGGACTGTGGTGTAACCATACTGGGGATGCTGGGCATACTTTCAACTTCAAAAATTCGAGAGTGATGATCACTATCTGAAATTTTTTTTTTAAAAATTATTTATATATATGTGAGTATATCTCTCTCAAATAGACAAAACTCCACAGTAGGCAGAGCTTAAATAAAGGTTCTGTTTCTGTTGTTTTCTCAAATTTACCCACAATCCATCAGTACAAATCAGTCTTAAAAAGGGGCAAACGGCAGACCTCATTGGCCGAGTACAACAAAATGGCACCCAGATATTGAGATCTGGTACACAGTAGTAAAGATAACTTTAGATCAAGCCATGTGTCAAGTGGGACTATGAAATTACATTTAAAGGAATAAAAGAAAAATTACAGGACAACTTTAAGTACCTTCTAGCAATTATGTTAAAATGGGTTTAAAAAACAAAACCGGGAAAATCTCCTGTAATTACCATTGCTGTGCATCACATATTGAGTGAGGAGGAGAACAATATAGATATTTAGTGATGCATATCCTATATTTTATTATAGCCTCTGGGATTTAGGGATTATAGTAGAGCTACTCCTACTGTTTTATCTCCTTTCCACCTTTTGTAGGTTAATGAACTTCTTCAAATGGCAAAGGCAAATCGATCTGTGGCAAAAACTGCGCTCAATGACCGTTCATCTCGCAGCCACAGTGTATTCCAGCTGAAGATAGAGGGCGAGAACCTGACACGGGATATCAGGACATCATGTAAGTCTGAAACTGAGCCCTCTTTGAACACCTGTGAAGTTGTGTTTTATATGAGCTATAGCCTGGGACTATTGCCTTTGATAGATTTTTTTTATTTTACTTTCTAACTATTTTCTGGCTTATTTCTACTAATTTTGAATTCCAGAGTAGCCTTGTACTGAAATTTTATGTCCAAAAAGACAAACACAGGGGGCCGGGCCGCCGAGCTGGATGGCAGCCATGAGCTTCGGCTCTGTCCCAAGATACCCAAAAAACGACTTCAAAAGTGGTCGTGCAGCATCATAAAGGGGACAGCCCGGTAACTAAACGATGATACACGCACCCTGCACCAGTAAGATACCTGCATGGGACCGATCCCGCACCAAGAGAGCGAAAAGCAGGCAAACATGGCCGCACATGGAGGGAGCCAGGAAAGACGAAGCAGCCTGGAGGGGCGAACGTCGAAAGTGAGACCTGGACCCGAGGCTGAACGGACTGGCCCTGCCGGCGGCACGGCCCCGCTCCCCCCCCAGGCCGGTGGGGGTTATCCCGGGCACATGGTGACGACCACCGCGGCGACAGAAGCCCGCGCGGGTCGATCTCCTACACTGGCAATGATTCCCAGGAACAGCCCGCCAGCAGATAAGGGCAGATGGACTACAAGCACGCACGAAGAGATCTACCTACCTTTATGTGGAGGCTTCTGTATGAGGCTCGAGGGGCCCAGACGGCTGTCGGCCCACGGACTGACACCCCAGAGGGCCTGCCCCCTGGTGACGATACTGGACCCTGCATCTGGGTTTCTGGGTGGCTCGGAGAAGGATGTCCCTGGCGCAGTGAGTCCTGTGGGGCCAGAGGGCTCTGAACCCCTCCGGTATACCGGTGGCCGGGAGGGAGGAGGCGCTTCGGCTCTAAGTGTGAGGCCTGCGCCGGGTGAGACTCGTGGGCCCAGGTGTTATCTGGCAACGCAAACGATGCTGGGGAGGTGCAGGGGACGGCGGGTGCTGGGACTTTTGTGGGGGGTCTCATGGACTGGCTCGGACCCCGAGTGCCCACGGCATCGCGGAGCGCCCTGCAGGGGGCCTGAGTCCAAGGTGAGGACAGATGGAAGACCGGCGTCCTGAGGGACCTCACTGATCCGGTATGCAGATAGCTTACAGTTCTATAATTCAGCTCAACATGCACCGCTGACAACTCCGGGACTATTCCTATAAGCAAGCTCACGTGCAATTCTGGACACTTGAGCAGTTCCTCAACTGTGCTTCGATATGCACAAAGATTCAGTTAATACCGCTTCAATGCGAACAAATTTTTAAGGGATAGCCAGCAATTTATGTTTTAACAGTTGCATGCAGTTCGCATCTACTCCGCTTATATGATGCTGTTTCTAAATTACCAAATGAATGTGCAGTAAATGCTAAAATGCCCATAAGGGCCAAAGGTAGACACTGATACATATTTAATTACTGACTGCCGCACGATAGTCGGTACAGTCGCCTATAACTATATACCTGATATCCAACACAGTACATAAGAGTATAAAACATAAAGCAACCACCTGTGAACACAAACACAAGACAGGACGAAGTCGCCCATATGCAGGCAACCAAATGTATATGCAGTGTCAAACCATTGTCTGTTAACATAAAACACTTACTTAACGCTATAATCGAAATAATATAGCAACACGGTACATAAGAGTATAAAACACAACGCAACCACATGGGAACACAAACACGACAAGACAATTTCGCCCCCACGCAGGCAACCAAATGTATATGCAGTGTCAAACCATTGTCTAAGCCCCTGCGTGGGCATTCACTTGCTTTATTACGAATCAATTTGATGTATGACTTTATATTGTGCACACAATAAAAATATTCAACACAAAAAGACAAACACAAAGGCCACTATGTAAAAATAATTTATTTTCACAATGGTTTGTGTGTTTTTTACTAAAAATATGTAACTTAAATCAAGACATTGTATATTCTCCCTGAGTGTGATGTTACTTCATGTAATTTGCGTACATGCGTTTTGGAGGTGTTACAGATTGTGTCTTATGTTCCTAGCGGTGCTGAGTTTAATTGACCTTGCTGGGAGTGAGCGTCTGGATCGGTCACTTTCAACAGGAGATAGACTAAAGGAAACACAGTCTATCAACACATCCCTTTCCACCCTTGGAATGGTCATCACCTCGTTGTGTAACAAGGTAAGAACTCACACTGTGAGCTCCCTCGCTTGCCATTAACTGTCAATTCATAACAAATGGATTGTGGTATTCTGGGCAGAATGCATTGACCAAATGATTGTCGCCTGCAGTGTTTCCATACGCAGTAATTCTAATGAGACAGAAGTGTCTGTGCGGTCCTGTCCTTTCTTTTTTTTTTTTTTAAATCAATATAATTCAATTTAAGTAGAACCATTCGTATCTTTAACAAAGTCATGGGAGCAGCCCATACAACTAAGTCATTGTGATTTTTATGTCTCTTCACAGGATTCTCACATCCCTTATAGAAATAGCAAGCTCACTTACCTTCTGCAGAACAGTCTGGGTGGGAATGCCAAAGTGTAAGTATCTGTATTCATCTAATTAAATGTCACATGACACAACATGCAGCGAAATGTCATGCTTTTCAGCCTCCCTGCTTTCTACTCACACTTGCCTTTTAATGTTTGTTTTACAGACTGATGTTTGTGAACATCTCTCCACTTGAAGAAAACTTTGCAGAATCTCTGAATTCACTTCGGTTTGCCAGCAAGGTGAGAGGGAGCAGAATCCTTTCATGGTTTAATCATGCAATCTGTGTTTGTGCATCTGAAGTAATTGTTCTAATCGGCCAAAATTAAATGCATGATCTCCCAAACTGCTTTACTGAAATAGCTGTCATTCCGGTATATTCTCGAAGTATTCATAATTATTTCACACTCATATTGAGGGGCCCCTCTTCCTTCTTGTAATTGCCGATTATGCTGCCAATCTTTTGAAATTCTTCCTCTTAATAGCTCCTTCATTTATATATATTTTTCTTATTTTTTTCTCTCTGTGTAGGTAAATGAATGCGTAATAGGCACAGCGCGCGCCAACCGCAAGTGAACTGGACCTTTTTTTTTTTTTTCATGTCTAGAATTGTTTATATGCAAATAAGGGTGAACAGTAATATCAACAATTTTTTAAGAATTTTGTATTTTTTATTTTTATGGTTTGTGTTCTGGCCTCTTTCTACCCCAAGTTGGAATTCAGAAGAGTAATTTTAAAACTACTCTGTTCATTTAAAAAAAAAAAAAAAAAATTTTTTTTAATGCATAATAAACGCTGGACTTCTTCCCATTGTATATAAGGTCATGTAAATATGAAATTATTTTTTTTATCGCTTAGTTTTGGTTTTGTTTTTTGACGAGGAACCCTGTTCATCATGTTGTCAAACTATCCACTTAAAAAAAAAATATCCATTCTTTTTCCATTCTGTGTATTGACTCTATGAAATGTACATCTCTTCTTATTGTGTGTAAATATAGATCCTTTCGCTAAAAACCCTGAAAAATTAAATATTACTAGTGAATGGCACTTAGAACGAAATACTGTGATTTATGAGTTACAGGTTGTCTGGAATCAGTCAGTGTACGGGGGATTACTCAAATTATAACTGGCGTGCATGTTATTCTCCATGGAACTATCTTCTTCTTATGGGTTTGTTTGGGGGTTTTTTTAGGCATAGAATGTACGTTGCAGAAATAAGAAAAATGAGTTATAGTGTAACTACTATGGTTCCCCTATTTATCCCTATAAAGAATAGAATTTAGCAGGGCTGACCATACAGATATCTGTGGCAATATTTGTTATATAGTTAGTAAGAGTTTCTTTTTAAAATCTAGATATACTTAATCCATTATAATTTGCAGCAGAGTTTATAAGATTAAAGTAATGGATCCATTATATCTTTATTTAAAGCATAATATTTATCAAATGTTGGATCTGTTTTCATGTTCTGTTTAAAGTTTGCGCTAATGCAAAGAAGAAATGATTTTATCATTTAAGTGTCCATCAGAATGTTAATTGGGGTCTAGTACGTAAGCTCACCTACCATGACAGTGTCTTCACCATCAATGTACACAGCAGAAGCAGTACATTAGCATTCTGATATTACACATGAAATATACCTTGCATTAGCAGTGACTTGAAAATGGAATCTAATTTGCCCTTTAAAAGTAATATTTTGTGTTGTTTTTTTAAAAAGTGTGAATCCACTGTAACGAAGCTTAAATAAATGTAGTTGTCTTGTATAAAATACCTAGTTTTTCTAAAAAGAAAAGAACCCAGTGCCAAGGACCATTCCACAAAAATGGGTGAGGTTTACTTACAGATATGACAAGTATCTTATGTTGCATAAAATAGTGTTTATATAAAGGACAATATTGTCTATTGCAATCTACAAAGATAACTCTTCCATTAAAACACCCAGAGACTGGACATGTAACTTTATATATCAAATATAATTTTCACCACTCCTCGTTGGGTCTGCAAATTATCCTTGTCCTGCTCTCCTTCAACGTTTAAGGCAATCGGCCAAATTGTCAATTGTTTAAAGTTCCCACTAAGCCAGCACTGCATGGATTCTCTGAATTCACGATACTTACGGTTATCGACCACCTTCAATATGGAACAAGCAAGTGTATATCTGAGCCATGATGGGAGAGCTGGGATTGGTATTTTTATCTAAAATTAAAGACAACTATCACAAAGAAATTTAGGATAAGTGTAATATTCTATAGGAGCCAGATGATATCTCTCTATGATTTCTTCAATAAAGTTCTACCAGTGCTCTGCATGCGTATTACACAAAGTTCTTATTGCTTACCTGGTGGAATGCATTATCACAAAGGCATGTATTCCACATAAGTGACCTAATCTGGCCCTTTGATGCACCTCCAGTCTTTCAGTCACCCAGCAGGTCTGATGGGAGGGACCAGAGATATTTTCCTGCAATGCAGGCACCTGGATTGGTTCGGCACCAAAGTGAACTGCAGAGCTGTAAACAGAGCAGGATTAACCACAATGTGACTCTAGGCAGCTGCCTCAAGCTCAGGGGTTAGACAGGGCTTCTGAGCTGAATATTCAATTTGCTGTTCTGCTGCTCACTTTCAAGCGAGCACAATGTTCCACTGATTAGGACAAACCGTACATTCCAGTGGATTCCTAGTGTAAACAGCAGTTGTTAAAACTGCAAAATCATGGCTAGTAACCAACGGCTATGAATGGCAGTTGAAGAGCACCCCCACTCCTATCCTGGTGAGTAACCCAACAAATGTTAGTAGAATTTGGTGAATACAGAAGTGTCCTACAATGGTTTCCATTGAGCATGTCCCAGGCAATTCCTTACAACAAATTTATTTTAGCTGTGTAACGAAATCCCTGTTTGGACAGACTCAGAGAAACAGCATTTCGTATAGTTGTAAAAGAACCGAACAAACTCCCGAAACACCCAACCTCCCACCAAGGTCGTGTGCAGCTCATTTACCACCCAGACATTGCGGTTAACCGCAAGGTAATTGATGAAAGGCTTGGTGGTCCGCGTTCGTTTGCTGAACACGTGGGGGTCGCCATTTTAAAATCGTTGAACGCTCAGCGGTAGATGGTAGTCGATCCTCTGAAACGGTTTTCGGGCACTTATTCAGCCGCACACCGCTAGCGCGTACCAAGTTCCCGTCCATTCGTTAATAACTCCCTAACACTTTACCGTTCGGAACTTTCCTACTATACGAGATAGACCAACCCCAGGTAGCTGCAGTTATGGAACTCTTTTTGGATTCAATTTCCCAAACAACCGGTGAACTAAAAACTTTACTTGACGATAGTGTTCGTGGGATCTGAGCGCTATTCGTCTATATTGTGCGCTCAGATCCAAGCTATCTGGGGGTATGTGGAACATGTAGACTACATTCGGCGAAATATAAGTTATGGATTTGAATACAGTTTTGTCAAAATGTAAAAGGACATGTTTTCTCTACCTGGAGATAATTAGGTTCTATCGAACCATTTAAGTTAATTATCTCCAGGATAAAGAGGAGGGGTTGTACTGTTACTGTGGGTGTGTTTAATAATTGTACTGTAAACTGATTGGTTCTGTATATTTTGTCACAGTTTTCCAGAAGGTCCCCTGTGGGAGTTTCCTTGCTGGGAGACCATCATAAAAGGGCTGAGTTTGGCCATCAATAAACCAGATCGTTTTACCCCTTCATGAAGTCTCGACTCATGTTTGGGGGAATTGGGAGTTATAATCACTACTTTGTTATAATTCTGCTGGGAATTCGGGAGAAGCTGCAAGGATCGATACTACAGAGCTAATAGGATCATTATGTTAAATTGAATATGAATAATGGCTCTATTGGTGCCATGTTAAATAACAAAAACAACTTAACATTTTATGATAAACTGTGTACATGGTGTTGGCTTAGTGAGCTATTTCTTAATTGAATAATAACCTTAAACCCATTATTTAACTTTAAAGACAAAATAAAAAACAAAAAAATTGCATAGTTAATCCCTCTACTGGGTAACGAGGAATGTTTTTCAATTTTTCATGATCAGATCCCTTCATCTGGCTTGTTTGTTGGGTGAAGCTTAAATATATTTTTACACAGTTTATAGAAAAATCGGAGAGAAAAAAATACAAAGAAATAGCAGGATGAAACATTTGTTTTTGTGATAGAAAATGATCAAAGTGTCTGCAATGATTTCACAGGGATGTGTGAAGTTTCCCTTTGGTTAGTATCTCTGGATTTTATTGTGTATTGAGGGCAATTAACGTACGGTAAAGCTCTGCTAGGACATAAAGTAATGTAGCATAACTTTTATAGCATTGGTTAATATGTATCTGATGTGTGGCAAAAGTAACCTCGCCACTGGGTTTTGGAGAGGCCTGCTTGCCAGCCTCTTGCCCTGTGACTATGGCCTCTGGGGTGTAATGCCTTTTAAAAACACTATTTGTGCATATTGGGACTTGGCACAATGGCCATCTTAAATTGTCCAGCAGTGTTTTGTCGTTGAGTGTATGGAACTGTTTTGGGCATGGGACCATGTGCACGGTGGGGCAAAAATAAGACTTCTAGGAAATTCCTGAACCAATCTGGGTGATTTTTGGATATGTTGTTCACCCAGATCGGGGCTAGCAGGGGATGTGTTGTAAAAAAAAAACTTTTTTTTTTTTTTTTTCTGCTTAGTTAATTGAGTTAGTCCATTGTCTTCGTCAATTATATCACAGGCAGATGTGAGGGATTGTGTACACTGTATAGGAGTGACTGAATGTAAAACTGTTTTTATTTGACTTGTTGTTCCTGTGCCCCACAAGGTCCACCTGGGTGGTAACCTTGTGGGGAAAACTGTAAAAGACCAAGCTGTTCAATAAACCCTCAGTTCGGTGGAGTTCCTGTTTTACCCTCAACATAGAGCCTCATCTCATGTGTGGGAGGGAAAGGCTGCATATACACTGGGTGATTGCTATACTCTGTATATTCCCCTGAGCTATAATCACTAAACTCTTTTAAGAGCTTGTTCCTGCTACTCTCTCTTGGAGGATAGGTTCACCCACTGGAATCTGGAGCCTTTTCGTAGGTCCAGGGTGGGTAGAGGATGGTGCGTTCCCAGCCAACCTGTAGCGCTGGACCTGGGGACTGCGGTGCTGATGGTCCTTGGTAAGCACTAGGAGCATCGAGGGTCCATCACAAGAAGAATTCAAATATTCCAGTTTATACTAACTAAAAGCAGCAGCCTGCCAACTTCAATACTTTGCACAAACGAATTAAGCAGATATGATAATGGGTAGCTGGGGAAAGTCCTTGCCTTCCTCAATCGGCCCCTCTGCTGGGGTGGGCTGGGAGGTCGCCCAAAATTCTACAATATCAGGGGAGTTGCAAGCAGGGGGCTGACGGTGCATACCACATCGCAAAATCCTCACACGCGCCCACCACGGCACCTAGAGACATAATCCTGTTCTGTCAAAAAGAGATGTCACGAAACCCGCGAACTTCTCGCGAACGGTTCGTGGCGAACTCCGGTCAGCTTCAGCATGTCCAGGAGGAGGGAGGGTCTGCTGGAGA